CCCCAAAACCCCAAAACCCCAAAACCCCAAAACCCCAAAACCCCTTTGAGGGAAATCCCGATTGAATCAATTTCTATTAATTTCCAAAGAAGGCTTATCTTCCTCTTCTAATTGGGCTTCTTGCCTTAACTTCATTTAAGTAATGAAGTGATTGTCTTAAGTGGTCATCGTTATCTTTTCTGATAGCGCATACTTTTCCCTTTCTGTCAAGTTCTCTTCTCACGAATTCCTCATTCTCAACTTGTTCTTCAAGTTCGAGGTTTAGCACATGGTTTTGGCTGGTCAGCATGTCACTGTGCTTGGTGAGAGCATCAAGTTCTTCCTCAAGGTTGCGGTTGCAGTCCTCTCAAGCATGGAAAGAAGCATTGAGTCTTGCAAGATCATCTTTTGCAACTGTAATTTGGGCTCCTCTGCTATCATTCTGAGCCTCTAGATCTCTGACCTTTCCTCTCAAACAATTTTGGTGGTCTTGGTCTTGCCTAAGCTTATGATGACTATCAGTTTCAACGGCTAATCTATCCTTTAGCCTGGCCTGGTCTTGTTTGGCTTTTCCAAGATTGTCTTCGAGTCTATAGAGCTCTCCTTCAGCAATTGAGATATCCTTATTTTTCTCATCAATATCGACCATTCTCTTGCTAATATTGGCATTTAGTCCATCGATATCAGCATGTCTGTTTGCAATGCAGTTATCGGTCAATACAATATCAGAGGTTATTTTGTCGATATCGTCCTTGGTTCTACAAATATCAGCTCTCAGCTTGGAACCTTCTGAGACTTCAGAGGAGATCAATTTCTCGGTATCCTGAATTTGCCCTCTAAGAGCATTATTATCAGACTCTCTGAGATTAATACTATCGGTTAAATCTGAAATTTCTCTAGCCTTTCCATCATTAACTGCTCTGAGCTTAGAGATTTCCTCCTTGAGTACAAAAAGTCTGTGGTCAGCTTCTTGATTGGATCTGACAAGGCTTTCATTTTCCTCTCTAAGTCTTCTGATAGAGGCACCGTCAGCTTCAGAGCGTCTCCTCATTTCTTCCTCCATTGAACGCTTTTCTTCGCTGACTATTGCGCATTCATGCTCAATGCCTCCAATATTATCGTGCATGGTGTGGTAATGCCTTTCTTTGTTCCTCAGTTCAAAATTTTCAGCCTTGAGCTCACTGATCAGCAAGTCTTTCTGGTCTGCCTCGAGCTTTAGTGAGTCGAAGTAGTGAGACATTTATGAATTTTATTTCTTACTATTTTAAATTTAACGAATGGGGTTTTGGGGTTTTGGGGTTTTGGGGTTTTGGGG